ACCGCCCATCCCCCCACCAACACCGGCATCCCCACCGTCGTTCACCTCCACGGCAACATCGGCCCACCCGCTAGCGATGGCCACGTCACCTCCTGGTTCACCTCCCGATTCAGCCAGCGCGGCCCGTCTTGGTCCACAAAGACCTACACTTACAACAACAAACAACAAGTCGGGACCTTATGGTACCACGACCACGCCATGGGGTTGACTAGAGTCAACCTCCTGGCTGGCCTTGTCGGTGCCTATCTCATTCGCCATCCTCCCACAGAAAATCCCCTCCAACTCCCGTCCGGCGACTTCGAACGTCCGCTCGTCGTGTTCGACCGCGCGTTTCGAACAGACGGCTCGATCTTCATGAACTCGACCGGGAACAACCCCACAATCCACCCCCAATGGGAACCCGAGTATTTTGGGGACGTTATCGTGGTCAACGGGAAGGCGTGGCCTTACATGACGGTCAAACGCAGGAAGTACCGCTTCCGGATCATCAACGCCAGCAACGCCAGGTTTTTCGCGTTCTACTTCGGAAACGGACTGACGTTAGTCCTCGTGGGTTCGGACTCCGCGTACATCGAGCGGCCGATGACTGTCGACGAGCTATTGTTGGCGCCGTCCGAGATTGTCGATGTCGTGGTTGACTTTTCGAAGTCAAAGTCAAAATCGGCAATCCTGCGCAACAGGGCTGCGTATCCGTACCCGTCCGGCGACCCGGTCAACGAGGCCAACAGTGAGGTCATGAAATTTATCGTGGAGGACGAGCACGAGCAGGATGGGTCGAGGATCCCGGAGAAGTTGGTCGAGTACGCGGCCACGCGGGACCCACGAGCTGCATCGAACACGAGATACGTCGCGATGTACGAGTACACGAGCGCGACAGACGAGCCGACGCACCTCTACATCAACGGGAAGTCGTTCGAGGACCCAGTGACCGAGACTCCGAGAGTGGGATCCACGGAGATTTGGTACGTGATCAACCTCACGGAGGATAATCACCCGTTGCACATGCACTTGGGGCTATTTGTGGCCTTGGAACAGAGGGAATTGGTCGAGTTGGATAAGTTTAAGGATTGCATGTCGAAACTCAACAATGCGGTGGGGTGCCATGTGGAGAGGCACGCGATTGGGAATAGGACGGAGGTGCCGGCGCACGAGAAAGGGTGGAAGAACGTGTTCAAGATGATGCCTGGCCACGTGACGAAGATGCTTGTGAGGTTTTCGTACATACACACCAACAAATCGTACGCATTCGACGCGACTAAGGAGCCAGGCTATGTCTACCATTGCCACGTAAGTGATGCGCAATTTCCTAACAATAATAAGTATGCGTTTAATCTGCACACAAGAGGGTAATAGTGTTTTTGTCGCCGTGTTTTTTGCAGATTTTGGATCATGAGGATAATGTCATGATGAGACCCTTGAAACTTACGCGCTGAGAATATGTATACATGTAACTGGATGTATATTCATCTTTTTATTTGGCTGAATGATCAACATCACCGGGTATTTATATTTGTATAATTAGCAATGAATATTCGAATGTAAAGATGGGGAACATATGTGCTCAACTTTGTACGATTGTATAATTTGATACATCTCTATAGTCTCATGTGGTGGCTAATGTTTCACTTCATATATATGCATTACATTGTGATTGGTTTAATTTGATTTGGGGACTTTTTGTGTGTAATTGATTGCATGATAGCATTACCTTCATTTGAGTAACCCGTAATAAGTTTCCTTCCACTAGCGTATGTTTACTTTATTTAAAAAGTCGTTAATTAATTTGTTCTGTTTTTCAATTCGTAAAATTATATGCTAGCACTACAATAAAATGATAAAATTTCGACGGAAATATATTCCAATAGAATTCTAACGGTAATTCTAATAAATATTTCAATGTTATTATGTTTGTTGGAATAATTCCAACGGAAATTCCTACAAAAATATTCCGTTGGAATGAGTTTTCCATTGGAATTTTCGTTGGATTTTGACGATTCCAACGGTAGATTTTTCTACGGTGGTGGAAATAAAAGTTCCAACAGAAATTGCATATTCCAACGGAAATTCATACGGTAAAAAGCCATTGCAAATATAGCCGTTGGAATCATCAAATTTCATCTAAAATTCCAATGAAAAATACATTTCAACGAAATATTTTCGTTGGAATCATTCTAACGGAAACTATACCATTGGAATATCCGTTGGAATTTCCATTAGAATATATTACCATAGGATTTTTCGTTAGAATATAACAATTTTTTTGTAGTGTAGTAAACTTTTATTGGTTAAATTAATATTTTTTATCATTTAATTTTTAATACTTTTTTTGATTGAGTAACTTCTCTAAAAAGAATAACTAAAATTTAAAACAATAATAATAAAATTTATCAAAAACAAACTATAAAATTACATATCATGGTACAAAAGCCAATAAATTCTGAAATCATCAATATAATATAATTTCCTGGTGTACTCAATCCAATTATTCCTACAAAATTAATACAAAGATTAGTGATAAGATTAAAATATAACAGTTAATTCCAATAAAATAATAAATACATTTTTACGTTAAAAATTATTAGTACACAAAAATCAGCATATAATATAACATTGTATTAAAAAACTGAAATCATAAAAATTACAAAATCTATAGCACATTAATAGAACCTAATAAAAATTTATGAAAAGGCAACAAAAAATATTATAAAAATCAACATAGCATGATTGATAGTGCAAAAATTAAGTCTCTTTGATTTTTCTTTTTTGAATAATAAAAACATCGCACATATTTTAATTTTCCAGTTACTAATATCAAGATTGCATGATTTTTGCAAATTTATGAAGGTGAACATTCAGTATTAAAACATGTGGCATAAATCAATATCAATATGCATAATTTTCATTAAGAAAAAATTATAAATCCTGATAAAAATCAGCATATAGTACAACATTGTACTAAAAAACTGAAATCATAAAAAGCAAAAAATCTATATTCCATTAATAGCACCTAACAAAATTGTATGAAAAATAACCAAAAAAAAAAATATTTAAAAATCAACATCAGCATGATTGATAGTGTAATAATTAAGTCTATTTGATTATTTAATAATAAAAACATCTAACCTATTATAATTTTTAAGTTATCAATATCATGATTACATGATTTTCACATTTATGAAGGTGAATATTCAGTATTAAAACATGTCGCTTGAAGCAATATCAATGTCCAAAATTTTCATCAAAAAAATTATAATCCTTGATTTGTGTTCAATTAAAAAAAATTTGAGGTATCAAATTCATTTTTTTCCCGCTTTGAAAAATGTGGCGAGCAAAGTTTTTTTGTAAACAAAAAATATGAGTTATCAAATTCGTATAATTAATCAATCAATCTTTATTATTTGATATTTATACTATAGAATTAATTTTCACATTATTATTTGATATTTATACTATAGAATTAATTTTCACACAAACTTACATTGTAATTCAAGAAGAGAATCAACATACCTAAAAGAAATCTCCCCACTATNTACATGTCATTCCAATTTGACAAGGGTGTTATTATTCACCGCCCCCCATTTTACTAGTCACCGCCCTCTTTGGACAATTTTGCCCTTCTCATTTTTTCTAAACATCTCAGAGGAAAGTGTACGGTGAAATGTCGTCAAATTCGGAGGTACGAAAAAATAGGTGTTCGGCCGCCGGTTCGGGACGGCTTTTAGCCCGTCCGGCCGCCGGAACCGGACGGGTTTTAAGCCGTCCGTCCGGCCGGTCCGGACGAGCTCAAAGCTGTCCGGAAAGTACGGCCGGTCGGACCGGCCATGTCCGAACCGGCCGGCCGGACGGCTAAAAAGCCGTCCGAAAACGACGGCCGGTCGGCATTTTTTTTTTTATGTTATTTATTCGAAATAGTTATGTTATAAATTGGACTATATTATTATGTTATAAATTATTATGTTACATTTTAGACTTGATTATGCTATAAATTGGACGTTTATCGCGTTAGGAGTTACAAATTATTATGTTACATGTTGATTATAATATAAATTGGACGTTTAGATATTATCGTGTTACGAGTTAGAAATTATTATATTACATATTAGTTTTAGTTATGTTATAAATTGACGTTAGATAGTATCGTGTTAAGAGTTACAAATTATTGTGTTACATGTTTATTATAATATAAATTGGACGTTAGATATTATCGTGATCGTGTTAGGAGTTACAAATTATATTAATTGAACGTTAGATAATATCATGTTACGAGTTACAAATTATTATGTTACATCGTAGAATTAATTATCTTAATTTAACATGTTCTAAAAATATAAATATTGTACTATATAGCAGGAGTCATGGGAAGATTTTGGAGGAGATGGTGTTGATTACAGTCTGCGTTTCGATACATGTTCATTCTATAATAGTGCTCAGGAGGCTATTGAAGCTGCAAAACACCAGGCAATGCTGAATGGTTTCCTATTAATTATTTCGAGCCACAAAAAGAAAATGGTCAGACTTTTGAAGTGCCATAGAGGCGAACGGTACAGAGGCACAGGCGGAAATTCTAGAAGGACAAAAACGAATAAGTGCGGCTGCAATTTTGAGATCAAAGTAAAAAAGGTGTCCGGCGTTCCATACTGGAGGATCTGTAGATGTAGCAATGAAGAGAAAGGCTACCATAACCATGCATTTGTTGTGTATCCTGAGGGTCATAGCCAGTTGAGCGGTCTCAGCGCTTCATCTAAGAGAATTGTTCGTGACATGACGGACGCTTAGGTGGCCCCGAAAAAAATTATGGCCGCGCTGAAGGAAAAGAATCCGGGAGACAACGTTCATGTGCGGCAGGTATATATATTTATATCTTGTAATATATGTTTTAATTAATTTTTTAAGTTAATTATGATAATTAATAATTTTTTATATGTAAAAGTTATTGTAATAATTAATAAATTTTATTATATTTACTAATGTATTATTATTGTGATAGTTAATAATTTTTTTTATCAAATTAATCGCATTAATATACTTTTTTATTTATTAATATAATAAATTTTTTGTTTTAAATTATAATAATCATTATAATTAATCGCTAATCGGTGACAGGTATATAACTTTAGAGATAAGCTGCGGAGAGAGAGTTCCGACGGTAGAGACGTTCCTTCTCAGCTTATGCATTTGGCCGTGAGCAGCGAGTATACAGTTTATGTAGAATCCGATCCAAACACGAAAGTGTTGACGCATATATTCATGGCCCATCCTGCGTCTATCAATCTATTCCGGACATATCACTGGTATGTCGGTATAGATTCCACGTATAAAACCAACAGGTATGTTACTTTATAAATACTTTATTAGTATGAATCTTAAAAGTGTTGACGCATATATTTATGTGTTTATATTTTTTGTCTTCTTGGTCACATTTGCACAGGTACAAGATGCCGTTGGTCGAGATGATTGGGATGAGCCCGTGCAACCAGAATTTCCTAATTGCGTATGTCCTCATCAGGGACGAGAAAGAGACCAGTTACGACTGGGTTCTAGAGAAGTTGAGACTACTGATAGGCCAAAGCGTATATCCTTATGTTGTTGTCAGTGACAGAGAGTTGGGTTTACTCACTCCTATTCAGAGGCATTTTCCTTAATCAGCCTACTTACTCTGCACGTGGCACATCAACAAGGTTGTTGAAGCCAAAACGTACCAACTATTTGGGAAGAATAAAAAATTCTCGGAGATTTTCACCCACAGTACGTGGAAGGCGATTGCAGAGGCCAGTACGTTCGATGCCTACAACGATGCTGCCGAGCTGCGCGCAAAATATTCGAACAATCCAGAGGTGATACGGTATGTGGAGGGCACATGGTTAGTGCACCGCGAGAAGTTTGTGAAGGCTTGGACCAACCGAGTGACACATTTTGGAAACACAACTTCCTGTAGGGTGGAGAGTGCCCATTCTGCGTTGAAGGAGTGGCTTCAGACGTCCACCGCCGCGCTCGATACGGTTTGGCAGAAGATTAATAAGCATATCGATAATCAAGTGACTGAAATCAAGTACGTACTGCAATTTTTAAATGCGTTATTATATTACTGCATTAATTAATTATAATCTAACGTTATGTAACGTATTATCAGGACGGCGCTTGAGGCCTCGAGATCTAAGAAGAATACACGGTATAAGGGAATCCGTTTCGCGAGCGTGATACTGAGGGTCTCGCATTACTGTCTGAGTTTATTGGACGCTGAGCTTACGAGGATGCACAAGTTGGACACCGATGTTTACACTAGTTGCGGTTGTGTATTGCAGCTCACTCATAGACTTCCTTGTGCCTGTCTCCTCCGTAACGCAAATGATTTCGACGTTCCGATTGATCTCGGAATGATTCACCAGTTCTGGAGAACGCTCGAGATATTAGAGCCAGGTAATTTAAAATTAATGTTTTATTTATAATGTTGTATTAAAATATATTATTTATTTTAATTCATTGACTTTTTTATCGTATACTTGTAGGGACTGGTCATCCGAGTCAGGCGAGCAACGCTGCATTGTCAGATGCGGCGTTCTTTCAGACGCTTGTGACTGTGGTTGAAACCCGCGATCCCGCGACGATGCGGTACGTGAATCAGTTCATGTACAGTCATCTTTACCCAGACCAACAGGATTATGCGGAACCTGAGGTTAAGGATAACCCGCGAGGTCGTCCCAAGAAAACTAATTCAACTAAGCGTAAACCATCTGCTTTTGAGTACAACGATAAATCGCGAGGTCGGAAATCGAGCCGTACGACCAATTCTTCGCGTGGACAGACAAGTTCGTCTTCTCAACAGTCACAAGGGGATGAAGGTAATACATTTTTTTTTTTTAAATACGGCTGAGCGTTAATTAAAGTATTTATATGATTATATAAATTGTGACGTGAAATTATTATGATATTTATTGCAGAGTTTAGACCGACAAATATATTTGGATTTTCATTGTGGCAATGTATCCCCTGGCATATGTTGGACTACATAGTGAGTTACCTGAATGTGGATGCGGATGGTAACTGCGGATTTCGGGTCATCGCGAGTCACATGTATGGTCATCAGAAGTACTGGGCAGATGCAAGAGAAAACATTGCGAAGGAGGTCGCAACCACCCTGAATTGTACGAGTACATCTATTTTAGAGATATCGAGGCCGGACTCCGTCGCGTAAGGTGGGCTAGAGGCCCTTGTGGACCGACTCACTGGTTCGAAGTTCCGCAGGACCTCTATGCCGTTGCGACCCTATTTAATGTGGTTGTCGTTCATTTGAGCTCTGGTCCACAAGGTGGGCAGCACGACTTATTCAGCACCACAGTGTTGCCTCTCACTGCACGATCATCGGCTAGAGGACCATGTCGTGAGATTGCCATTTGCCATCTTGGTACCGTAGAACACTACATTCGTTTAGATTTGACTGATGATTGTCCATTACCGCCTATTCATAACATGTGGTTCCGTTACCGAGATCAATCGGTTGTGGGTTGGGAGCATCAGTACCAGTCTAGGTTGCAATTGTGGTATATTGTTCAAACAAATCGTTTTTGAACAAAAGAACGATATTATTCAGTTATGGTATGACGCTTCTCATTCAACTTAAGTTTAGCAAATAAAAATAAATAAATGAATCAGTTCAACTTAAGTTTAGCAAAAAAACAAAATCATTCAACTTAATGTTTTACAATAATAATTAAAAAAAAAACATTCATTACATCATTATTGGGCATTGTCGTAATCCAACTTAAACTTAGCCAGCTGTTCTTCGACTTCCGCCGCCTCCGGACAGTCTGGAACAATCTGCTGCAAGGTCGATGTAATGCCCAAAAGACGGTCCACCCACTAAAAAAATGAAAGAATAAAAAGATAAGACTAAAATTTATTAAAAAAAAATTATTGTAATGAATTAACATTAATTAAAATTTAGTAACCAACTTACATAGGCGGTATTGACACGCGTTGGGACCTCGTTCTCGTCCGGCAGCTCCTCGCCCATGAGAGTCGGATGGGAAACCCGACTGTACCACTGCTGGTAATCCTCAGTCGCCTCCCCGCGATCCTGTGTGGTGTGGGTCAACATACCGGTGTTGACCGTCCCAGACATCGGGAACTGGGTCCAGGCACCTACTGCACCAGCCTCAGAATGCTCAACCTTGTAGTTCCTAGACTCCCAAGCACGTACTGCACTGATTGGCGGGAATATAGGGGGAGGGACAGTCTGGACATACCCCAGCTGACGCAGACACCGCGCAGGCAAGTACGGCTCGACGACATCGCGGTATCGAATCAATCCGCTATAAAGAGTCCTCGGCTCTATCGCATCTGGGCTGGAGCTGCCGTATGGCAACCATTGCACCTGTTCACAATTGCATAAGAGCATTTATAAAAATAATTATGTTATTTTAAATAACGGGTAACTAAATTTAAATAAAATAATTTCACGTACATCGGAGGCAGTGAGTCTGTCGAGGCGCCGACGGATGGCTGTGAGCCGATCGTCTCACCGTGGCGCATTCCCTACGCTCCACGAGCGTGATCGTGCGAGACAGTCAGGACCGATGGGTAGACGTCCCCGGGGTCGGAAATCGGGGAAATACTCATATATCTAGGACTGCAGAAGAATCAAGCAGCCCGACATCTGGGCAGAGTCCCCTCGGTTGGCAATACCTAGCTGTCTGTACATGTATGCCAGCGTAGCCGATCCCCATGAGTAACCCCCAATCAAATCCAAGCCGTCGAGCACCTCGTGCAGGAGCTTGGGGGTCACTCTACTACCACTCTTGTCGACGAACAATGTGGTAGCCAGCATCACCCACAGCCAGGCACCCGCCTCATCCCTAGCCGGCCGGTCTTTCCCCCTGAATGCCCCCGAAATGGCGGCTTCGGAAACCGAACCACGCTGCCAGAACGAACTCATGAGTTCGCCCTTGGTGACCGAAAGTATCGACATGCAGAGCCCATGGCAGGCGTCCGAATCCGGGTCCTCAGCGACCACGACTCCCTCCACTGGAATGCCCAAAATGGCCCGGACGTCGTGCAGCATGATGCTCATCTCACTAAAAGGCATGTGAAACGAGTTAGTATCCGGCTGCCATCGCTCCACAAAAGCAGAAAGGAATGGGGTGTCCAAGTGGGTGTGCATGGAGTCGACCGAATGTGACAGCCCGGTCTGGTCGAGAAGAGCTCCCGCATCGGAAGACATCTCTTCACGCCAAGCCTTCAGATTGTCGATCGCTCGCAGTCTGTTGTGGCATTTCAGCGGCCCCCTCAAATTCCCACTCCACATGCGGGAGGCGACGTGCCCAAGAAAGCTAGGGATGACACTCCCATCAATGGGCCCACCGGGCACTGGGCCTCTAACGATCCAAGGTGCATCATCATCGGTCCTAGCTCGTTTGCTAGTACCTGCATTAAAATACAACATATCTGTATATATTGACTTGCTGGCAGATGCATTAAATAAAATATATTTAATAAAACATATTTTATTAGTTACGTTATATTTTACATTTTACGTTATTATTATAAGCATATATAATTTATAATTATTAATATTATTTTTTGAATTTATAATTAATTACAATTTATTCAACTTACCCTAAATTACAAAATAATTATACTGTAGTTGAGGAGCAGGCCGATAATACTTTTCTAACAGTACCGATAATTTGTTATGATTAAGTGAAAATAATTTATGTTAAACAACAATAAATAAGTAAATTATTTACCTGATGAGGATGCAGATGGGCCAAAACGCCCCCCAGCCTGCCGTCGAGGAGCAGGCTGTGTGGGACGAACAGCATGTACCGGACGAACATGTTGTAGAACATGCTGTACGGGGCGGGAACTCTGGCTCGCCTGACGAAGCTGTACCCTACGAGCCTCATCGATCAACGCCTGCCTTTCCGTGTCCCTCTCCCGACGAACGGACGCAACACCCCGACTTCTAGTGTGTCGGGTGCCAGAACCATCATAATAGTCATCGTACGCCTCGTCGTCGTCCCTGACATTAGATTGTCCAGGTCTGCCAACACCCTGAATCAGAAATATAATTATTAGATTTTTCCAATGTAATGATTATTCTAATAACTATTAAAATAGATTATAATTCATTTTTCTTTTCATATATAAATTTTATTAATTATTATTATAATTATAATTGTTGAGATTTATAATAGTTATTATAATTTTTTAGTTCAATTATTATAATTAACATTAAATTATAATCATTATTATATTTAATTATAATTATCATTACAAATTATAATTATTATTTCTTATAATAGTATTATTATAAGCATATATAATTTATAATTATTAATATTATTTTTCAAATTTATAATTAATTATAATTATTATAATTATTTATT